ATTAGTACGCACATGTAGAAAGAGTCATATATTTTTAAATACACTTGGATACGCGCATGTATACACCCGTACAGTCTGGTATACATGTATATATATTATGGTACATTAGTCCACACGTACATAATACGGTACAGGCTGTAATTCATGTTTGTAGCTTCAATACAGAAACTCACATTTATATCTAATGATTTCTGGAATGTAGTAGCGGCCAATAAAGAAAGCACTTTCGTATTTCATTGTCGGCAACCGGCAACCAAACAAAGATATGTGGCAAATGGCTCTCGTCATTATGGTATTAAGATGGATATAGTTCAATACGCAAAGGAAGCTGTAATCTCAGGTTACTTTAAGCTGATAGAGAAAAATGATGATTATTACTTGACACCAGTTATTGCTGCAAAACAAAACAATAGCAACAGTATCAAACTATCAGTGTTCAATGGCTTGAAATTTAAACGTTTGCAATTTTAGTCAGCTGTTTTGGACATTGTGGCTCCTCTCACAATCCGTAAGAAGGATAAGAATTTGACTACTGTTTACAATTTAAAGTTGCAATCGGTCGTGACGGTACCGCGTATTGCAAACCGTTTGATAGTTATACTACTGGACCTAGTAACGTGTCCTTTATGACTTTAGTGATAAAGAAGCCTGAAAAATGTTTTTATAAGTTCAAAATAGGTCAGTCGTCTATGGCCGCAAATGTACTGGAAGCTGAGAACCTTACAAGTAGACGTACGCTGAATCCAGTCTTCGCATACGAAACAGACCTCCTTTCTATGAGTTTTAGGGTTTTAGGGTTTAGGGTTTTAGGGTTTAGCGCTGAATCCTGTGCAGGTAAACCGTAAACCGTAAACCTAATCGGATGGACTGTAAACAAAACAAAAATGTTGTTAGTGCCCACTTCAGAAACAAGGAAACTATTGAAGAAAACAAAGATTTTGTTGTCTGCGCGATGACCTGTGGTTTTACAACGTTCAATAGAAACTGTATATAGACAGTACTCAGATTAGAAGATATTGTCCAAATTCCTCGAACTGAATTCGGTGCAGTCCCCCCAGCGATGAGCGTGTATTTGATGTGGACACTTCAGACGAAGAGTCGTCAATGTCACCAGCCAAAAAATCTACAAAAGAGGTAGTGGCTCATCGCGTTCATTGGCTGAGGAATATGATGATAACTTCATTTAAGATTTATCTGGGTCTGCTGCAGTCGTTGAAGCTGACACGGGAAACCGGGTAATAGAAGTCGCGTGACAATTATCCGACATATATTCCAGGTAGTGACAAGACAACAACGTATTAAAACAAAACAAAAAGAGTGAAGTATAACATGCCCTATTGATCCCGCGAACCGCACTCGTGACGGAGCAACAATTGTGTCTCGTACACCCTGAATATACTACAATGAGCTAGTCCTAATACCTGTCCATTTTTATGTTGGAACCGGCATTTGCTGCTTATCTCATCTGAGTGCATATACCAAAACTTTTTCAGTTCTATTACTTTATTTTTCCTACCGAGTCTATCAGTCTAGAACTCATGTGATTGTTGACCATGCTAGTGTCCAGGATACGTTTCAGTAGCGGAGTGTGTATATTAGTGAGATCGAGAGATATAATCGAGTCAACGGGTAGACTTGTTTCCACGAAAAGCTTTGGCGACGGAAGTGACAGGTGAATATTTTTTCGGGCTGTTACATATCCTCTGGGTGACGATGAGTACCAGTTGTGTGCGAACATCATGGTCGATCCGTCATATCGACGAGCACCTGGCATGAGCAATCGTATTTGACTCGTCAGAAAGTTGATCTTGGTAACAGCCGACATATGTATATAAGTCTGTATTTCATCTTAGTTGCTTCTGTTGCCCGCATGCCTTGAGTTTTGTGCATTCTCACTATCGATGTCTCGTTCCTGAGCTTCATATTGTGTGTTTTCACCAAATCTGTCAAATTGGTTCGCTATTTGCATATGATCCGATTCACGTGTTTCGTGCTCCCTATCATAAGACACGCACAGTATTGGTGTACATAATACACTTGCATTAAGCACTTTGTCTAGAGCACTATATCGTTAAGGTCGGTCGCTTAGAGGCTGATTATACGATACAAAACGTCTACATTCATAAGGGTACATGTTTAAGTGTCAAAATACAAATGCTAACTAAGTTCAGCTTCAGCCCTCGGTAGTGAACTAATAGATTAGCGGATTTTAGACTCAGACTATTGTCTATATGCTCCGCTCTAATCGCTCACTACGTCGGTCTAGATTTATTTATGTTTTAGTTACCAAGATTAGATCCTATTCTATTGGGCGCGTAGAAATGTATTTCACGCCGCGAAACAATCCTCCAATCGTGTTCACTATTGAAATAACTCTAAGTCCAACTCAAGGCTCTACCCAATTGATTGTATAATAAATCTATTCAGCCCTAATAACGTTACACGTATACGGTAAATGACTAAAATCATTAATACCGAGTAACAGAATATCGATATTTGTCTGTCTGACTCTTTCCACCAACAGGAGCTGTGACATAACACTGAGAGAAGATATCATGGTTGTAGGTTTAGATCAACAGAAGCTCTGACTAAGAGACTATAACCGAGCCTGACTAACAGGAGCAGTGACGAGCTCTGACTACATAACACGGAGCCTGACACTCTAGAACAAACCTTTGTTTTTTTTATACAAAAAAAGGGTACGTATAGGAGTTGTAAACATCAAATATTGGACCTATTAACTCGGGAATTTTTACTATAGGTTGACCCAAAGGTACATTAAAAAATCTGTTTCATTGGCAGTTAGATGACTCAAATTCTTCATATTGACGAGTAATAAAAATATGTTTAATCTCATCCCGATTGGACTATTGATTCAAAAGTTATAAAAGAATCGAGTTTGTACCAGAACTGGGTCAAACTAGGCGCACGTAGGCATTATATAAGTCCATCCATACCCAACAGACCTTTTTTTTTGGAATTATAGCACACTACTTTAAAGGTCTCTGGTGGGTTATATATAGCTTATAGCGAGTCTAGATGTGTATATCGGGTACCTCACATTCTCACTGGTATAAAGGGTACTGGTTAGAATATGAGGTATCCGAAATACACATTCAAACTCGCCATACGCGCACATATAACCCCCCATAGACCACTAAAGTATTACGCTATAATGCCAGAAAGGTCTGTTGGGTATGGATAGACTTGTACAAAGCCTACGCGCGCCTAATTTGACTCAGTTCTGGTACAAACTCGAATCTTTCATAACTTTTAAACCAATAGTCCAATCGGCTCATTACTCGTTAAAAATAATAATTTGAGTCATCTACATGCCGATGAAATAGATTTTTTAATGTACCTCTGGGTCAACCTCTATAGTAAAAATCCCCAGGTTAATAAGTCCATATTCGATGTTGACAATTACAGCTCCTATTCGAAGGCGTTTGGAAAAAAAAGAAAAATACAGAAACACAAACTGCAAAATTGCAGACGTCTAAATTCACAGCAGTGAGTCATTCGTTTTCTATTGGGTCTCCACATCTGAGCGATTGAAGCCATACTGTATTTAAAAATATACAACTATTCAGTATGTATTCACCCCATCTATTTACAATCTCCTGTACACATATTTAAAATACAGCAATATACACATACATACTTACATACGCATACACCTGAGGTCTGACACACGGCTAAGAAAATACGTAGTATCTAGCTATAGATAGCTATATATCAATATATATATCTAGCCTGTCTGCACAATATCACACAACATATCAGCCTACAACATGTCCCGAGACAACCTAGATAACGAGACTCTTCTCTCTCAGACACAGAGAGAGGGCAGCCACGATGTGCTTCCCCCCGTCTATGGCAACAGCCATGATATGGAAGGCCTCGAAGAGGAGTTCAAGAGCTTTAACGACTCGAATGTGAGGCTGGGTATGTGGATGCACATCACCATTCAAACAAGGACTGTATTTGGACTGCGCTTAGTTAGCATGCTGTTTATATATGCAGGACTGGCACCTCGGGCATACGAGGGGAACTCTTTTGACGGTCACTGTGTGTTTGGGTGTTGCTGCACTTTGATATAGTCTTGCATCAGTATATTTGTGAGTAGGGATTGTGTCATTGGCTGGCTGCATTCAATCCACGTGTATATATCTTTTGTTGCCGTTTGGTACAAAAGGTACCCATGCGTGCATCAATGGACAGTGAAGGCACGCAGATATACATTTACATATCGTCATTCCTGGTTAGATCTCCTGCGAGAGTGTATCAGTGTTTATGCCAAAGCTATATCTGCGCGTAGTTCATGTGCGATGTTGTCCATATATGATGGCGTTTTTTATGTGACAAGTTGTTTATATTTAATTATGTTTTCGCATGTAGATCCTCTTGTATGTATCCACACGTCACTTCGCTAAGTGTCCGTGTATGTTTTTACCTACGCGCACATGTCCCGCTGATACTAGGGCTAGACAACACAGTATGTAGTTATGCCTGTCGTACTGTTATTATCTTATGGAGCTCGTTATTCAAGGAGTGTGATATTCTGTAGTATAGTCGGCAGTGCTTGCAGTTCTTTCTCAAGTCTAATTGAACGCTCTATCCTCAAGGTTTAATCGAACGCTCTATCGGAATCACAGGTGTCTGCTTGTGAGTGCGACTTACACTTCAGAACCTTCAGCACTTTTTATTCCCTTATAACGAGGTATCACACAGTTAGTGAATGGGCATTAGAAACAACCAGTGTATACGGGCTCTAACTTACCATTTCCAGCACTACATACTGCAGCCTGGTCGCCTAATGTTGCCATACGTCTGAGTTGGCTGGATAAAAAAAGGAGCCTAGTTCCCCAGCTATCTACTAACAAACACCTTCCCGCCATCCTTTACCGTACATTGCTGGGTTGACCCATTCAGGGTTCATCCGCAAAGTGTACTCGCTGCTGTTTTGCCAGTTGATCTGCACCACGGGCGTAGTTGCGGGCTTCCTCTATGTGCCCAATGCGCAGAACTTCGTACAATCAAATCCATGGTATGTATCGCTGTTACCGTTGTAGGGACTATTATAGTACCGTCCGTGATTATTAAAAACTGGGGTTTATGCAATTTTCTTTGAATTTTCCTTGGTTTTTGATCTTGGTACGGGAGAACCCCTCACGCACGCACGCCGCACTTGCTTAGGCAATGCGTCTTGGTTCGTGCCCGGTGCTTTAATTC